TGCGTTAACTGTTATCCTGTTACCATGGTTCACCTTTGTCCTTGTAGCCTGCGAAATGTATGTGTTGCCATCGGATGTTAACGGCAATATCCGGCGATACCATTGTTGTCATGCCGTGCTTGTGCAGATAGGTTCCTCTCATTTTGAACGACTGATATGTCCTGCTTCATTGTGCCATAGTATGCTGCAATAACGACCAATGAATGATCAGGTTTCTAATGAATGTTCTAGGATCGTATACTTCATTAGTGAAATTTCTGTACTCGAATGCTAAAACAGGCCCAACTACTTTTCATTGTTTAGCTGCACATTTCTTGTTACACTAATTATCTTACTAACACATGGATTTTGGCTAATAATGCACTAAGAATGTCTTTCCCCTTTTTGAGGGGAGGTGGAGTAACCGAGAGAGGGAACAATGTTTTAAGCAAGCAGCACAAGCAATTCTTGAAAATTTACTATTAAGTCACTTTAAGTGAGTTATAAAGACAACTCCCCAAGGAAAATGATGAGATAGAACATTACCTTGGGAGATCCTTTGTTGTGCTGCTGGCAGGGCTCTTGATAAACTACCAGAAAGAAAGTTGTCTTGTACTTCTTTTAGAGCCCGCCCTTTCCCTGATCTGCAGCCTATTTTTTGAAATAGTACCCCTCGGATGCTCTGTAAGTAATACAGAATTTGAATGTACATTCTTGGACCTAAGGAATGTAAATTAAACAAAAGAAACTTCATAAATTTGTTTGCGCCGTTTCAAGTGATACAAGTAAATCTAATATGACAATATGATGATCAATGCTAGATTAACTGCAAACTAGGGATCTTGTGCCCAATAACTATGCATATTGAATTTCAAGCAGACACAAGAATGTAAACCCCAATTCCATTGCAAAAATATAGCCTTTCCTGTTCTTTCCTTTTTTGTTCGTGGTGGAACTGTAAATTATTGAAAACAATTTGTAAATTCCTAGAAGAGAAGTGGCATCAGTTTTTCTCTAATGAAAATCTTAACATCAAATAATATGAATGTGGAAGAGCATAGAAATACAATTGTAAGTTTGTAACATTAGGTTCATCAAGCAGTCTTCAGGTCAATCACATGTAGATTATGTACGTTCCATATCAAACAATTGCTGGATACTCAGGCACATTACAACAGCAGTAATTATAATGTAATATCAGCAACAGGTCTTTTCATTCCACTTTGAGGTGTCAACACATTATTAGGGGAAAAAATTAGACAAAGAGTTACTTGAAAGCATATAGTTCGAAATACAAATACTTTTGTCCTTCAGAAACTTGCATAGGTCATACTAAGATTGAGCAAGTAGCATGGAATAATATTCCAAAAGCTATTCTCCTATACATCACCTATATTTTAGAAAGATAACTCCACGAAAAAAGCACCAATTTCCAAGAAATATTCACCAAGAACAATTTTCAAGGAGAAACATCAATCTAATCTCACCATCACAAGTGTCAGAGAAGGAGCACCATAATAAAAATACATCAATTTTATCAAAGAGCAAAAGACAAACAACTTCAAAAAATACAACCAGTCTATAGATTTATAGTATTAAGCTATAAGAAATGAGCCCATAGAAAGTAAGAACAAGAAAAAATAAATTAAAAAATATTGAGGTACCTAGAAAGAGAAACATGTTTGTTCACGATGGGTTCCCTGTAGCATGTTCATCACCATTTTCTTCAAGATGTGTAAACTGCTTTCTAATTGATCAGTGGCACTGCAACAAACGGACAAACGGAAATAAGAGAAAACACAGGGGAAAGGTTTGCAAACAAGAGAACAAACTTTAACTTATGCAACCTAGGGTGGAGATATTTGATCCTTTCTACATTGTTCATGAATCTTATAACAACTGAGGATGATAGTCTAGTATTTCTCTGAATAATAACTCACAAAAGTCCTTTGTAACTCTTTATCTCTCAAACTCAAACTAGATCTTTGATATAGGTCAACAAGAAGGTTATCAGAAAGAGCTTGTCACTAAATCATTATTACAATATGTGTGTTGTTTTATCTAATGTCAACCATGCAGTAGTCCTACAAAAAGCTTTAAACACTCTGCACAATGAGCTAAGATGAGAATTGTGATCCTTGTAACTTCCGGATCCAAACTCAGCTGCGATCAAATGATTATGATTCTTGTTTAGTCAATCCCTCCTAATTTTTTCGTACAAAAAATCATAAGCACCAAATGTCTCATTTAACTATGGGTTCAATTAAATCCTCCAAACTCTAGTTGCCCAAAAAAATAGAAGTAAGATTCTGTTATCATTAAGAAGTTAGAAAAGATAAACCCTTAATTTCGTAAAGTAGGTTAGCATTTTCAATTTAGTTATATTCATAAAACAACAAGCATGAGATATTTAGAGCTTTTTGTTGGATTTTTGGTTTATGCAAAGAAAAGAATAACCTCAGTTAAGACAACCCCAATGGCTGCATCAGAATCATTTTAATGCTCTATTGCCTCATGTCTCAGAGCTCTAGCAAATTCACACCCGAAATGATAAAAAACCAATAGCATAAACTATAAGTGTCTTAGTTTAGGAACCTCATAATCATTGCACCTTTCCATTTGATGCTTCTAATAAGATGAAGAAGCGAAGCGGCTCCCTTTTTGGGAAAAAAATGAACAATTGGCACCAATAATATATGATGTATTCTTTTTTAAGTGAACCAAACTACTCTCTTAAGACACACAACTACAGAGATTAAAAAAAACATACATGATTCAATCAAATTCAACAGACAGAAATTTAATAGTTGTGACAAAGGCGTAGAGCTACCTAATAAACAAATCTGAAATGATAGTAGCATGTACTCCGAAAAGTGCAAACAGGAACTACTAATTTTGATAAGCCATGCTCCAATTGCACAAATCCTATCTAGGATACTGCAGATGAAATCCTGTAGCCAGATCAAGAAATCAAAGATTTGTGCATGATTAAGAGGCAGGGTATCAGAAATAGATGCAATGTAACATTTTTTTCATGCTAAAAAAATATAAACAACACTTTGAAGGAAGTAAACGGCTGATGGGTGTCGAGACCACCAAAGAAAACCTACTTATAACTACAGATAGTGGTAAGCAGGGTGATCCCACAGGGACGGGTGAAACTCTAATGAACCCCAAATTATTCGACTCAAGTCACAAAGAAATAGAAAAGATAGATGGCTTGCGAAAGTGAGAAAGTGACTTAGCAAAGTGTTATGGGGATCTTAACCTATCCTCTCTCTAGTTGGTTGCTACTTTTAATGATATGAAACTGTATTCAATCAGGCACATAAACACTGTAAGATCATTTCCGATGTTCCAGACATCAGTTTTAATAGTAACCAGTAAACTAACTTCCGTTGTCGACTCGAAATTACTACTAAACCATTGAGATCTTTGGCCCTTACGATTGCCTCGTGCCAAATAACTAACTTCCGTTGTTGTTTAAAACCTTGGGCTGTTACCCCATCGTCACCGGTTAATCTTAGACATTCTAAGTTAAGTTTACCCTTCCGGTATTCCCCTAACATGCAAGAACAATTGACTATGTGATCATTCTAATCAAAAGGATAATTAAGACTCTAAGACTAAGAACACAAATATCATTCAAGTGCAACCATATATAATAACATAGAGAGATTCAAGGGATTAAGACCCCATAAACAGTTTAGCTACACATATCCTTGACTACAATGGATATAGAACTGATCCACATAGCCAAGGACATGATTAAACAAAAGAAAATACAGAAAGTGAAGAAAACAGAGTGTGGAGACAGTCTGCTAAAAGCTGCTGCTGGCCTGCCACTTGGGTAAGTGAGAAACTCACTTCCCCGAGTGGCCACCCTTGGTTGCTGCAGCCTATTCCTCTTCTTCTCTCTCTACTGTCTATCTATGGGACTCTCTCTCACGCTCAATCTGGTCTTCCTTGATCCCCATATGGAAGATGTTCTGAAGATGCTGCTCTTGTGGCTTTTATAGAGGTTGGAGAAGGTAGGCTTGCTTAGTGAGGTTGATCTCCTCTTTATCCATTGGATTAAAACCAAGTTGAGGAGACCCATACCTTCTACCTTCTCCCATGTCTTTAGATCTGAAATTGCAGCCTTCAACCTCTTATTTTGCATCCCTAAACAGCATATTTTAAGCCTTCAATCACTTCACCCATTCCTTCTTCTTCCTTAGCCTTTAAGGATCAAGTTTCCTTAGCTTCTAAGCCTCCAAAGGTTGCCCCTTCTTCTCTCTTTCATGGCTTCTCCCGCTGGTTCTTCTTCTCCTTTGGGAATTGCACGATTGGTCCAATTGGTCATTTCTAATTGCGCCCAAAACTTGCCAATTTGCACCTTCCTTCCTTTTGCAATTCAGCTCATGGATTACCACAAGTCACCAAATTATCCTATAAACATAAAATCCTAATCTAATTGACATATAATTAAAGCATAAAGAGGTAAAATGAGTACCTAAAAACATAGTACGATTTGCACTCATCAACCGCCCTTGGAAGAAAATGTTTTTGATGTTTTATTTATGCAAAAGGGCTTCTAAGAACGCAACAAGGGCAATCAACACCCTACCTAATTAAGAAGACTTTACAAAAGACTAAATAGCAGGATATCTAAAATCTAACGCATATTTAATAGAACGAGCAGAGCTAAAATACTTGTGAAGCAACTCTCAATGCATTCAACATGTCTGAAAGTAATGGTGAAGCAAAAGCAATAGAAATGGCTATAATCCCAACAAAATTCGTAAGGGAAGAAAAACCTAATAGAGAAACTTAAAAAATATAAGAAGATAATTAGAGGAAAGACTCAAACAAAATGCCCAATTCCAAGGCACAAATTACTCTTCAATAACTTTGCGTCTGCATGGTATAATTTTATACATTAACTTTAGGGAAGTAGAAAATGTTTGACTTTCTCTCTCCCCATCTGTAGGGGCGATGGCACACTTACTGTATGAAAAAGTTTTCTTCATCTCTCCGGCATGTCCGTCGTGCCTACAATGGTAGGAAAGATGAGAAAGAGAGGAAAATCTATTACAGAGGAGAAGGAACAACCCTTGGAGGTGCGTTCAGAGGAAGTTCATCGTTCTTCGTCTCCAAGCAAGGTTAGTGATACTGGATCTGAAATTGAAACTGAGCGAGTTCATGTCTATGTTAATTTTTCGGAAAAACTTTGTAATCGCAAGATTGTGCAAATTGGTGATTGTTCTAGTAGTAAAAAATCGATTGAAATTGAGTCCAGTGATGAAATTAGGGTTAATCGGGAACATGGGTTTGGGGGAAAGCAAACCCTAATCTTACTTAGGGGTTGGATCGGAAATTAGAATACAATGAGCCTGTCAAAGTGCATGATAGAGTAATAGCTAAGGTTCAAAAGGATGAGATACATGAAGCCCTAAGTTTTTGGAAGACTTCGATTCTCTGTTATGTACTGGGAGCTAATCCCCCCTTCTTTGTCATCAACGGTTATCTGCAAAGAATTTGGGGGAAATTGGGTATCGATAAAGTGCTCTTAATGGATAATGGAGTTTACATGGTCAGGTTTAAATCTATGGCTGCATCGGAGGAAGTCTCAGAAGTAATGTGTTCCATTTTGATCACCATCCCTTAAGAGTTAAAGATTGGTCTGTAAGGAGGGATTTAAGCTTGAAGATGTCGAGTTAGTGCCAGTTTGGGTGCAACTGCCTAAGCTTCAAGTTAAGTATTGGTCAGCTAGAACTTTGAGTAGAATTACAAGTGTGTTGGGGAAACCATTGGAAATGGATGAGGTGACTACAATGAGGAACAGAGCTGCATTTGCAAGAGTCTTGGTGGAAATGAAGATCTCAGATCACATGCTTGATGCGATCTGGTTTGAAGACGAGAATGGAATTCTACAAGAGCAAAAAGTCAAGTATGAGTGGCTTCCTGCCAAATGTGGAAATTGTGCTGGTTATGGACATGAAACACAGCTTGCAGGAAACCTATTCAGAAAGCATGGAAGCAGAAGAGCGCTCCTGTTATACAGATGGCAGACAATCTTGAGAAACATACAGGCAAGGATCAAGAATCAGATGGAAAGGGACAGCAAACACATGCTGCTGCAATCACACAGGTTTCCAAAGAGAGTGAAGGAGCAACTAGTGGAGGAAAACTTATTGTTGCACCTAATATCACTAATAAGGAAGGCAAGCAGGGCTTAACCAGGAAGGATAAAAAAGGTGTAGATATACGCACTATCAGACAGAAGCAAGGAGGAAGAACACTAAATCATGAAGCTGGTCACCCTGATCCAGGGCCTAGCAACCATGACAAATCTACTTAGCTGGAATGTAAGAGGGTCCTCTGAAAGAAGTATTGCTGGACTGCTCAAAACAAAGTTGAATCAAGGCAAAGTAATAGAGTTGATGGAGAGAAAGTGGACTTATTATAGGTATATCAGCAATCATAGAAGTAATGAGAAAGGTTTATGCTTCTGATCTGGAAAGAGGAAGAGGTTCAGATTACTATGCTACATAAGGATCTGCAATTCATCCACTTTCATGTCAAGCATGTACTTAGTGGAGTAAAATTTATACTTACTACAGTTTATGCCGATCACTTATCACAGGGACGCACTCAGCTATGGGACTACCTACTAAGTCAAGCTGGTCAAATTGATCTGCCTTGGCTTATAATAGGTGATTTTAATAGCATCCTGTTACCAGAAGGGAAGATAGGAGGCTCTGCAAGTTTAAGCCACGACACTGGTCTGTTTCAGATGGTGTTAGATAACTATGAACTGTTGGAAATGAAGACTGTGGGTAATCACTTTACTTGGAGTAATAAGCAGATGGACAGTCACAGAATCTCTTGCAAACTTGATCGAGCTCTTATAAATGAAGCATGGCTTCAGTCTTTTCAAGATGCAATAGCAGTAGTGTTATCTCTTGGTATCTCATATCACAACCCCATCCTCATGAAATGGAAGCAGGAGGCAATAGCTTGCAAGAAGCAGTTTAGGTTCTTCAATATATGGTCCTATCACCCTGAATTTATAAAATTAGTGAAGAAGGTTTGGTGTAAGAAGATTATGGGTACCTTTCAGCATCAGTTTTTTCGGAAACAACATCTACTAAAGCCTGAACTAAGGGAATTTAACAAGAAGTATTTTAATGAGATTGAGCACAGGGCCCAGCAACTGAAGGATGAACTAGTTTCAATCCAATAGCAGTTAGATAAAGACTCTCAAAATGCAGACTTACAGCAAAAGGAAAAGGATTATCTGGGGCAATATGTGATAGCTAGCAAGGCAGTGCTTAGTTATTGGCAGAAAAAGCTCAAAGATCAGTGGACTAATGAAGGAGACATCAACTCAAGGTTCTTTCATGCTAACCTCAAGCAGAGAAGGATAGGAAACAAAATTCTGTACTTCATCAATCAGGAAGGGGAGTTGGTGGAACAATGGGTTCAGGTACAAAGTCACTTCATTAGTTACTTTGCAACACTGCTAGGTACTAGGTTTTCTAGAACTCTGGCAAATAGTGATTTTTTAATTCAATCAAACTGTCTATATATCAGCGGATCCTCCTGATTATAACTTTCACTTTTGCGGATGTAAAAGATGCTGTTTTTAGTATTAATCCTAACAAATGGGCTGGCCCCGATGGCTTTAGTAGTGGTTTTTAAAGAGAAGCTTGGAATATAGTTGGGGGGGAGATTTAAGAAAACAGTTCTTGAATTTTTTAGTTCAGGGAAATTATTGAAACAGTATAATACCACTTTAATATCACTAATCCCAAAAACCAAAGTCCCGAAGGATGTTACGGAGTATAGGCCAATAACATGTTGTAATACAGTCTATAAGATAATCTCCAAAATGATTAGTAAAAGACTTAGTCTGGTCCTGCCAGATATTGAAGACTTAAATCACGACACTTTTGTCAATAATGGAACTATTCTGCATAATGTGATGTTAACTCAGGAATTGATAAGGCTTTATCGAAGGAAAATAGTTAGACCTAGCTGTTTGATGAAGGTCGACTTAAAGAAGGCCTTTGATTCAATTCATTGGGACTTTCTAGTTGAAATGTTGGAAAATTATCACTTTCCCCCAAAGTTTATCTGTTGGATCATGGCATGTATCAGTACAAGTAGTTATTCACTTTGCTTGAATGGAAGTAGTTGTGGTTTTTTTTCAAGGGAAATGGGGCTTGAGGCAAGGGGATCCCATCTCCCCTCTTCTGTTTACTTTGGTTATGGAATTTTTAAACAGGCAGTTTAAGAATTTAGTGTGAAGGAAGGATTCAAGTTTCATCAGTTCTGTGAGAAGTTGCAGATTACAAATCTCAGTTTTGCGGATGATCTTATCATCATATGTGAATCTCACATTCCTAGTATACTAAAAATTAAGGCTACAATAGATCAGTTTGCTACTTCTACTGGTCTGACTTTTAATGTAGGGAAATCCAATCTTTATTTCGGAGGAGTTTCGGAGGATATCCAGTTGTAGATCCAGCAGATTATGTGCTTCCAAATTGGTTAATTTCCTATCAGATACTTGGGGGTGCCAATTTCTCCTACTGCTTGGTCTTAAGATGATTGTCAATAGCTGGTGGAAAAGATTATCAAGAGATTAAAGTGTTGGTCTACAAGAAGTCTCTCATATGCTGGCAAACATTCATCAATTTTGTCATTTTAAATCTGCACTCTTACTGGTCTGGCATTTTCTTGCTTCCTCAGTCAGTTATAAAACAGATTGAAAGGCATTGTAAGGAGTTTTTATGGGGGGGTAAGTGAATCTGGGAGATATAGAGCTTTGGTTGCTTGGGATGAGATTTGTAAGAAAGAATCAGAGGGTGGTTTGTATATTAAAAAGCTAGGGTTCTGGAATAAAGCCTTGGTTGCTAAGCAGTTGTGGGATTTGGAACAGAACAAAGAAAGTCTCTGGATTAGATGGATACACTCTTACTATTTGAAGAAGAAATAAGTTTGGAAGTACAAACCAGCTGCTGATGTTAGTTGGCATTGGAAGAAGCTCATGTCCATCAGAGATGACTTTGGCTCAGCTGTAATCAATGGCAAATGGACTGGGAACAGTAAGCATGTTTATACAGCCAACAATAGATTCAGCTGGCTCATGGGGAAACAAGTTATGTTTAGGGAAGCAAAACTGATATGGAGTCCTCTCTTTTGCCAAAGCATAGCTTCATAATGTGGCTGGCTTTGAAGGAGAGGTTATTAACGCAGGACAGATTGCAGAAAATGCATATGCTGAATACTTCTGTGGAATATGAGTTGTGTGCAGCTAAAGAAGAAACTGTTGATCATTTAATGTTTCAATGTGAGTACTTTAGAGACTGATAAAAAAAAGCTTAATGAGCTAGATAGGAGTGCAGCTTGACTTGTCTGAGGAAATAAATTAAGCATCTGCTGAGAAGTTGGAGGCAACAGAAAGCAAAGCATCTGCTTCTGTATACTCTGTTTGGCAGGAGAAGAACTGCAAAATATTCCAGCAATTGAAAAAGGATTCAGAAGAAAGAGTCAGGGAGATCGAAACTCTGTTATTTCCCAGAGTGAAATTTTGCTTTTAGAATAGGAAAATTTCTATCTATGGTTGCATTAATCAGCTATTTTCTTAGATGTAAATATTTTTTGTAATAGATGGCTGGTAGACATGTAAATGGTTGAGCTTCATTATATAAAATTTTTTACCTTCTACCAAAAAAAAAAAACAAAAAACTTTGCACCTACATTATTGTGAAACTTTATAGGTAGGGGGATCCAAAAATCATAAAACCTATTCAGAGATACCTTAGAAATTCAAAATAATAATGAAAGATAAAACTTGGAATAGTGAAGACTCAAGTATAGACTCACCAATTCTTGTTCTCTTGTATAAAGTCTGCATATTTGAAGCCATCCATTGAGAAGAACATGTCATTAGTGCATTATCAAAATAGACAAACTTAAAAGAAAAAAGCATCAGTTCAAGAAAGACAAGTTGTTGCTTTTAAAAATCAAAACTTCAGAACAACAAAAGGACACCAAATGTACACGATACTTTTAAATAAAAGACACTAACGCATTCCCAAAAAAAAGGAGACAGAAATCTGACATCCAAAGGACAATGAGATTAAAAAACTTATTTAGTGATAGTATTGACAGGCAATTCTTTCAAACTTGAAATTCGAAATACAAGGCAACGATAAATTCCTGAACATAAGTTAATTATGACACAAACTATTAAAATAAAATCAATTGCAAAACTATAGAACTCACAGAGAGGTCAACCATGTTGATTATCCTCTTAAGAGAAGTAATCCCTTTCTGAAAATTAACACCTCATGATGATGCAGTAGTTTTCGCTTGTAAGTCAGGGGGAGATGAGCAGGATCCATAACACCATTCTTATTCAACATCATAAGCGTATGTTCATCAGTGACGGCCAAAACCAAACTAAGGGGCAAAAAAATCGGAAAATTCATTGAAATAGATGAAGAGAATGATGGGAGCCTTAATGAACTCAATGATATTATGAAAGACGTTCATCGTGGGCAGACAATGAACGGGAATTGGGGAGGGGCTACAAACTGGGATGAAGTGATGACTGATGAAGCCCTAAAGCCTCAATGTGGGTAAACAGTAAACCCCATGAAAGGGAAAAAACAAAAGTGTTGCGGTCCAATCAGAAGAAGACATGTGGAAAGTCCAAAAATTTATGGAAAAAAATGAAATTTTGGCACGGGTTAACGATTCACATGAGTGAGGATTTATAATTGCTGGGGGGACGAATGAACCAAATGCGGTGAGGAAAAAACAAGGGAAAAAGACAAAGTTGGAGGGGTGCAATAGGGAGCTGACACATGGAAATCATCTTATTTGGGGGGGGGGGACAATTGAACCATGGTGGTGGCATGTGGGAAAGCAAAGCGGTGAGGGACGATTGAACCATATGTGTGATGTGCATCCCTCCTTTAGATATATATGTTAGAATAATTAACCTTCACAGCACAAGAAAGAGTATGCTCGATGGCACTGATGTGATCATAGATAATCCGTTAAGTGTCATACCCAACTATGATAATCATTAAATTTATTTTGATCAAATCGTGGTTGGATAGAATCATTTTGAGGTTGGAATCAAAGACGACGGAAGATTGTAGCCAAATGCTTCACGTCAAGCAAAATTCAAGCACACAATGTAGCTGACAAAGATACGTCAACTTAGTGACCGAGAGAAAGAAGTCAACAAGGACGTCGATAGAGTAGTATCGGGAACACTGTCGACCAACGCCAAGATCGACGAAGCTAGGGTAAATTTTTGTTGGTTTTCCTAGTTCGACT